TCCAACAGGGACGGAAGCACTCACAGACCTCATTGCTAAAATTTCTTAACTGTCTCTCAGCTGCAGCCACGCTATGCTTTCCTGTAACTGCAAATGTCAGTGATCCCTGCCTCAACTGCCCATGTAAACTGATGGAAGCGACTGTTAATTCACCTCGCCAAAGAGAACCTCTTTTGACCCTGAACTTCAATTTTCCGAAGGTGAGGGATGGTCCCAGAACTTGTGGTTAAGTGAAAGGTTCTGAACAACAACCTGTGTGCTCTGCATAACCTCTCCTCCCCTGGGAGCTGCTAACTCTTCTTCCATTGTAAAGGAAGAGTCCATTTCTATGGAGACACCAAATCGAAGAGAGAAACTCCCAAAAGGGAAGTATACCCTGAACGAGAATTTAAACTGGCAAGGAGCAAAAGGAGGGAAGGGGAAAAAGAAAGACGGTTCAGACTGCTGAAGCCTTCACCAATATTTTTTAGGGGCCAGTGTTGTCAGCAAGGCCTTAAAAGCCGGAAGGGCAGGTTTCCCCAGTTGCACTGAACCTGAGGTTAGACGTTGTGTGATCCTGGATATGAGCCAGCACCCAGACAGATCAGTTTTGTCGAACAGAGAAAAACCCTTCCACGTCCAACCTCTGGCGATTTCTGTGAGGTTTTCCAATCTGCATGGACTGGCAGCTGGTAGAATGAAAAGGGAGTTTCTTTTTCTACCCTTCGTTTGGAGCTGAGCACCAAGCCCTTTTGAGAATCCATCGGATCTGTGCTGTTTGACAGAATGCGAAACTGGCACAGAAATGTTTGGACCAGCCAATAGCCAGGACCTTCTCGGCCACTGTGGTGTGTTGATGCCAATGACGTGTTTTCAGGCACATTTTCAAAACCAGAAAATGAAACAGTAAATAGCCTGAAGATCGCCTAAGAAAACGTAATGACACTTTTAAAGGACAAGATTCAGTGAGGAAGATTAAGGCTAATTGTCAAAATTAGTAGAATCATCTGCTCTCTTCGTAATGGGAAGCAAATTACAAAAAAAAAAAAAAAAAAAAAAAAAAAAAAAAAAAAAAAAAAAAAAGATCTGGCAGGCTTCGATGTTGACACTTCCACTCGAGAGAGTAAAATCAAGTTGTATTTTATAACTATGGAGAGACATAAGGACACAGAGTCAAATGGGGCCTTTTGACAGCCCGTTTCGTTTTGTAGTACCAAAAAAAAAACCAAACACAAGCACACAAATAACTCAAGACCAACAATCTACAGGATAACCATAATTGGGTCAAATGTGTAATTAGGGCTCCTATATTTTGGATTGCTTATTATCTCGCATGGGAAGCGGAGCCCATTCCAAACAGATATTGTCCCTTTATGGCATTTTAATCGATTTTCTTGTTCCAGGTTATCAGAAGACAGCCCGGCCTTGGTTCCAGCTATTTCACTCTCTGGGTTTTATGCAAACTCTAGGGCATTCTGGCACGAATCAGGCAGCCAAGTGCAAACAATCCACACCTTGGGGAAACAGTTCACTGTTCCCCAAGTAAACACAATCACCTATTAGTCACCCACTCAAAACAGAAATGGCCAATGGGGGACAAGAGACCAGCCCTCGATGCCAGAAAAGGAAGCATGCTGCTTTCAAAATCTCATTCTTTATGAGCACCGACTAACTGCATACTGCCTCAAAGCCACTACAGCGCTGCTTGTGGGGAAATGTCACCGGCATGATCCGTTCAAGTTTCCCACACTTTTATAACCCAAACCCAACACGCAGACCCCCATAGACGCGCACTACGATAACAGGACTTTCTCTGGAAATGCAGTATCGTGAGACTCAGCCACCGTTCCTGATAATGCACATCCACAAGAATTGAAGTGAGATGGCGAGGGAGGCTGGCAGGCAGGCCCCAGACAATAGATAGGGCCTTTGTGTTTTATTGGCTTCTCACCTACTCAGCCAGCCACTCATCTGAAGCCTTCGAGATGTTTTCTAAACACACATCTCTGAATCATAATGTGAATTCCATTTACTGAAAGGCGGGGACTTTTAATATAACAAGTGAACCCATTTAATGACTTTATGCTTTTATACATTACAGCATCTCTCATGCTTTCCATAAGTGGATATAATTTTCTTTGCATTACCCTATTATTAACATAGTTAGTATTATGAACATATGTATTCAATCATGTTATCTCTTTTTTTTTTTTTCTTTCTCAACCTAGGATGCTATTTTAAAAATGCTCTGGACGGCTAAGATAGCAAAAATGATTGCCCCCAAAAGCAACACACCTTTACCCCTTCCCCTCTTTGACTAGTCAAACACAGATTTTCTTGTAGTTTGCAATGTCTTGATAAAGAGTAACGATTACTCTTATGTTTAAATGTCCATTGGTTATACTTTAATCTTTTTTTTAAATGCAAGAGTCATCTACTGTTGTTCAGGCCCTTATCGTGACTTTTATTATATTCGAAATAACTTGTATGCATTAGGTTATTCATTACTATATCGTGAAAATGAGATTTTCAAAACAAACTCTCCTTCCTCTTCAATTAAACTTCTAGTACTACTGCTATTTATAAAATATGACTTCAGTTCCCACAATGCAGAGAAAACACAATATTCGAAAATAATTGGAAACCAGAGGGGTTTACGGGCCAAAATTCCTCTTTCTGCTCTAATACTTCAGTAATGGGCACAGAAAAATAAAACACACAGAACAGTTCCTTTGGGTAATCCAGTCTTTAACACATTAGCACGAAAATGTTAACTGGGTCTGACCCCTCCCCCAAACAATAAGGCATCCAAATGACACGAAACAAGGAAGGTGGCAAAACGCCATCAAATCTACCAAACCAGAAGGATATCAACACCGTGTCTTCATATTTTGCCACAAAATGGTAAATTTGAAACCACATTTCAGTAACCATATATTGTATATCCCTTAAAACGATCAGAAGTGCTCATCTGAAACTTGGTCCCTTGTCACAGACAGCTCATGGAATCTAAGTTAGAGGCTTCTATTGTAGAGATTTTTGATAATTACCAAGTTGAGAACACCAGTTGTACGATCTCAGTTTCCATGATGGTGAGTTTTATATTTTTAAATTTTGGTGAGGACCTGAGGGATTTCCTTGAAGTTCACATTTCATGTTTTACATCTTCCAAAGCAGTTTTAAACCGGCTCAATAATAGAAGGCAACAATGAATCTTGAAAACATATTAAGTTTTAAATAAATATTTTTTAAAAGCTCGATGTAGTGATAAGAACAAGAAAGACTATTTCTAGGGGGGGGAACTTCCATCACGGAAACTTCTAGAAGGTTTTGAAATTTGGGTCTGTTGCCATGTAAATACTTGTGTTTCAAGTTCAGTTTTGACGGATACATACCTCGTCCACTCCGACCCACAAACCTGAGGTCATTGAATCTTGCAACTTGGTTTTTCATGGCTGCGGTGGCATTTCTCAGTTCGGCTGAGTAGTTTTCGTCATTGCCTGCCATCACAGTGACCAGAGTACCATCTGGGACATCCCCCAGAGCCACCACCTAAACACCAGCCAAGGGACAAACGCAGACATCAGAAATGTTACAAACGTTGGTGTCTCTGGTGTAGTAATTGCTCTAAAATTAAACATATATTAAGTGATCCTTTTTAAGTTTGCAAAGGAATAGCAAAATGACAGAAAAGTTATTCATGGGAAGAATTTCTTTGAATTCCATTATGCAGAACTAAATATAAATTTTCAAGTCCTAAAACATTCATCTAATAAAGCCACATCAGGTCACATGGCACAGTTGGAAGGAGACTGAATGCGGCCAAGGCTCTGGAAAGCTGTGCCTTCTCACGAATGCAATCATCTTACTCGTGCACATCTGAGAAACGCAATATCTTCTTTTTGTGACTATATAACCTAACCCATTTTTCGCTTGTCCAGACCTCCATTGATGGGCCTAACAGGGCCAACTTTGCTTTTAGGTGTTCAAACTTATTTCTGCCAAAATTGAATTCCATCATTACAACTGAATTGTTGACCGTTCTTGAGGGACACTGTCCCTCTGCAGGTCATCTTTGAGACCCCCTGCTCGCTTCTCTTATTCTGATTGTCAGTAGCAGGGAATTCTGGCAGGCAAAGGAAAAAAAAATCAGAAGTGTATCCTTTATTACTAATTCCAAAATCAACAGACGTCAGAGAAGAGGGGCTCTCCCTGTTATGTGCTGCTCTGAATTCAGGAGTGGAACTAGGTGGCATTTTTATATCTGTGGGTCCCCCAGACGTGTCCACTGCATCCTGATAGTTGACTGAGGTTTTCCCCAAACCCAGCTGACCTTGAAGAGGAGTTCCGCTAACGTAATTGCATAGGAATGGATTTCCTAACAGGGCTGGTGAACAAGACTGGTAGATAAGTATTTTTGATACTCAGGTAATAAAAAAAGCAGTAATTTCCAAGGTAAAATGCTCTGAAGAGCGTGGTGTAAAGATGCTTTGTGCAGTAGTATCCCATCATTTGACCCTTCTAGAAACTATTTATTGGGGTTAGACAACTATTACCAGCTAAATTTCCATTGCTTCTATTTTTTTAAAGTGGTCATAGGACTTCCGATGAAAATACCCCAAGTTCTATCGTTTCTGATATTCCTCATGGTATTTTCTCAGTCAGTAGTGCATTTGTGTTAATCATGCCAATCATACAGTCGCTTTCTTCATGCTGTGTTTGAGTTGGAACAGCAAAGAATTCTCTAGGGATTATTTCTTCCCTGTGTTTTCTACCTCTTCATTTTTACCCCATTTGGGGGTTAATACCTATATTTTCGACCCTCTTTTCCTGTCTGCAAAAAAGGCTGCCATAGGCTCCCTGATAGCAAAGCCATGGTTTCTCGAAATGCCCATCTTCGTGGCCTCCCCGTGTCATCCAAGTGACCCTCCATTGCTTTTGTGCCTTGGGATGCTTCAGCTCTTGGGCTCTGAGGAGTCTGGCAGGGAGGACAAGCCATCTCACCACAAGAGACTATGGGACCGGGAGAACCAGCCCACACAGCAGTAGGTAAGCACATTCTTCATCTGTCTTAGCACATTTGCTCTCTCAAACACCGTCTGGGCCTTTTATCTTTCTTTCTAATCCTTTCCATCCCAACGCCGGGCATGTTTTCTACGAAGGAGATTTAAAAACACAGCTATTTATTCCCCAAGCACCCTCTAATTAGATATTTAGTTCCCATTAGAAGCGTGTTTGTTGCCTTTTAATTAAGAGCAGTAATATGACAATTCCCTTTTGTTTCGAAAACATCATTGAACTAAATCTCCCTGATCAGTTATTTACTTATTATTATTATTTTTTTTTACCACTTTTTCTATTCCCACAAAACGTGCTTGCTTTATTCTGCTTTTTTCAGTCTCTTAAAAATTTTTCCACTTTTTTTTTTTCTTCACTATTTTCACTTCCCTCTGTAAAATTAGCTCACAGTGTTGAAATGCTCTCCTGGAACACATATTTTTACTTCCTCGTCCCCATCTCCCTGTGATGACCCGGCTTCTCTATTTTAATCCAACCTTCAGTAAGTATACAAGGACTGTATACTTAATTACATGGTTTTCAAACTCAATAATTCGCTCTTGGGGCAGAGTCTGTAAAGAGGTTGAAGTAAGTAAATCTTGTTGCATAGCTTCCCAAACGGATTCTAAATCACCTTCCTCCCCCTGGCTCCTCTCACGATGCTCCACGCCTGTACCTCTCTCATCTTTCCAAGACTATCTTTGTCAGTAATTTGGCAAACTTGTGAGACCTTCATCAAGTGGAAACAAATATAGAGTAAAATGATCATGGTGGCTAAATATGAAAAGGTTGTTGATGTTGGAATTTAAGACCAACAAAATTAGGAGTTTAACTCCTACCCCTGCCTTTCTAAAAAAAATGCAACAAAAGTCAGAGATATTTGGGTGCCTGAAGATCATTTATTTGGTCTTTTCTTGCTCTCAGAGGGATTTTTTTTCTTTTTTCTTTTTGCTTTTGGCAGGAGGAAAGGGGAGAATATTAAATCCGGGGAAATTACAGTAATAACGTATAACATCTAATTGTTAACAAGCCTACTTAGCCTAGATAAAAAAATTAAAAAATTAAAACTAACACGTCTGCTAATTTTATACAGATTGTGTCACTGATAGGCAATAAGGAGAGAATTAAAAAAAAAAAAATCTAACTTCAAACAGAAAGAAAGAAGGAACTGGAATGAAAAGCTATAAACAATAGGTAAGGAAACACAAACATTTACATTTAACACAGACCAAACAGACAAGAAGGGACTTGCTGGCCAAAGGATATCTCATATTTTGTTTTACTTCTCTGTTTTTAAAGTATCAGGAAGTTGGGCAAAATATCAGCCCTCCTAGGTACTCTAGTGGATCTCCCCACACCGCTCTTGGCTGGCCTGCTCACACATTCAGACTGGCATTTTAAACAACTCTAATTAGGTTGAAATTACAGTTACAATTCATTTATTTCAAATCCCTTAATTTTCCAGAGTTTCAAAGAAAGCTGTGGAGTGGAACCCAGAACTCAGCCAAGATGACATTTAATGCATGCCCAGGGACTGAAGTCTTGCCGATAGAAACATGACTTCTTTCTTTCTTACAGAAAGTATATGACTATTAGCATCCAAAGCCTCTGAACTTGTTGAAGGCATGTTTATGCCTTCGGACCCTGGTGAGCCAGGGCCTAAACAGACTGTAATATTGCAGTATTAAAAAAAAAAAAAAATCCTAAGTCATCTAAATAGCTTTTTTAGGCTGCTTCTGTAAGTAGTGGGTAACACGTAGCAAATTTAAGATTTTCACAGTAGCAAAATATGTATCTTTTCTATGCTAAAAAATAAAGGTGTTCCATGGGAAAAATGAAGGGGGGGAGTTACATTTTTGGGGTCCAGGACAAGCAAATAGGCATATCTTAATCTATTTTAAGGAAACTTCGTAATCTGAGGTCTCCCTTCCATTTCAAACTTAAAGCAGGGGATTTACACATTGGATTTCGGAAGGCTAGTAAAGAATCACTTACATGCTCTTTTCATCAATACCATCAGACTTTATCATTGGTTCACATTTTCTCCTCCATATTACAGGGAAAACAATCATTCTTTACTGATCAACTTCTTAAAGAGATTGTCTGGGGCTTATTTAAAATCCACATTTTAAAGTAATAATGTCTACACGGAAACTCTCTGGGAGGAAGGTAGGTGGCTACATGGAGAGTGGAGCCAGGGATACACAGGGAGTCAACCGGGAGGGAGTCACGTTTTGAAGGCTAGCTTGCTTTTCCCCCCCTAACCTTTAGGCTCCTTTCCTCGCTGAAAACTCTGTCTGCTCCTTTGGTTGTGCCGGGAGCAGGCTTCCTCCAGGAAGAGGCCTCTCTTGATGGGGACGCAGTGGTGACAGATACTACTCAAGTGGCTACATTTCTGCAACGTCCTTCCCTTTCCCCTATCTGTCCTCAAGACCCACTTGAACTTTTTTCAAGAGAACTCTACATGGGTCATTTAGGAGTCTACCAAGGATCACTCAGTAAAACAAATGAGATTGAAAAAAAAAAAAAAAGTGAATCGTCAAAAGTCATTTTGAAAAAGAAATCTCTTTGGTTACTAAGATTTCTGCGAAAAAGAATTCCCGGGTGGCTCATCAAAGCAAGTTCTAGGATTTTCTTTTCAGGCTTTTAGAAGAAAAAAATATATATCCATATACACATATACATAATGTATATGTATACATATTTAGAGTAGCTTGAGAAACTATATCACTTCACCCCCTGAAGATTATTAATCACTTAGTGTTTTGATATATTTGGGCGTTGGTTCCCTGGAGGAGGAGGGGACATCCAGAAGAGATTCTGATTTCACCTCAAAGGAAGACACAGGGCTCTTACAACCCACTCCCTTGGTAGGTCAGGGGTATTGGGTTTAAATGACCCTTTGGCTGATTATCAGCCTGTCTCCTCCCTCAGCTCTTATCTGAAAAGTGGCCCCGGGCCGAGCCCTGTCAAGTCCCCAGTCACAGAAGGGACTCAGTCCTGTTCTGTGGCTAAAGGAGCTTGTTTCTGTAAAGAGATTAGAATGATTGAAAATTGAAATGGACTCCCAGCCCAAATCTACAGAGATGCAGGACAGCAAGGAAAGAGTCCAGTGGCTTTTCCACCTCATCCTCACTCCCTCCCCCTCCAAAACTCCTGCTCTCAGAAAACGGAGGCAATTCTATAGACAGAGCCAATTACACATTTTGTTTGGTCTTAGAAATCATAATGTTAAGTTTAGAAGGTGTATAAAGCTTAAAAATAAAGAACTCCGACAGTACTGTATAAAAAACTGAACACTATCAATTGTAACTAGATCAAGATCCAGTAGAGGCCTGGAACTCTTAAAAAGCTTATATTAAATTAATCTCCCTGAAAGGGCACAATCTGATCTTTACAGCTCCCTCCCCACCCCCCACCTGCCTTTCTTAGTCCTCAAAATGAACAGGAAATGACTACGGATTGTACTAAAATGTTGGTTGCCCCTTCTTAAACCCACCCAAGACAGAAGAATAGAATCCCCACCGCCAAAATTAAATTTCTACTGTTTGCGGTCAGGGCTGGGGCGGGCGGTGGGGGGGGGGG